GATTATGTTGTAAGTGGAAGGGACTTTCAATACCCAGAATTCTACTTGTTCCGTCATGCTTCCTACTCTGGGAGGATAATCTTGCCAACTTGCCACTCTGGCATTGAGTTGAATCCGATCAGGGAGATACGGTAGGTGCCAAGTCTTTGTCCTCCAGTTTCAACTGTTTGAAAGTTTCGTAGTACATTATCTCACATGAGCTCCTTTGGTCGATCAAAATTCGTTTGACATCGTAATCCTTGATGCGGAGTGAGAGGGTGATTTATGATCTGGAGTTGGGCCGAGATATCGACCGATCAGGTCGAGAGCCCAGGAGTGCATCGGGCCGAGATGATCCACTGTTCGCCCAGAGAAGGGCTACCAAAACTTGGGCCGGGCAGAGTTTAGACCGAGTGTGTGCCACCCCAGACCGTACAGAAATTGCTCGGCCAGGAAGTGACCGGTCAGACCAGGATGCTCGGTCCGAGGATGGTCGAAGGCTCAGCCTTCTTTATCATTCCCCTGAGCTCACATACTCGCTCAGGCTCGAATACCCCATGTATTACGTTTATCACGCCTTGAGGTGGGACGTCAATTGGTGTTCCGTCTGGATGATCATGGTTTTGGGGGGGCTGGCTGCGTCCCTCCTTCTATGAACCGGTCCAGGTGACCAGTTGTCACTAACTCCTCCAGATGCTGTCTCAACGGCGTGCAATTTTCAGTGCGGTGTCTCTTTTCCTTATAGAAGGTGCACCGAGATCTTCTGTCGTAGTCCTTCTGTGCCTCTCCTAATTTAGCTAGCCATTTGATGAAAGGTTCATCGCGTATCTCGCTGAGAATGCGGTAGATTGGTTTCTTGAATACCGTGGTAATGGTAGTGCGGACTCTCAACCATCTTTTATCTTAGTCTTCTCCGTTGTCTCGCCTGCCTCGCCCATTCTTGCTTGGACGTTCTACCGTGTTGATTTTTGCCGAAGTCTTTTTATCTGGTATTGCAGCTGTACCAGACTTTGTTTTAGCACGGGCGCCATCCTCCTCCACCTGAATGTGCTAGTGTACTCTCTCCATTAAGGCTTCCAGTGTGAGGGGGGCGTCATGGTAGTTGAGTCCCTCAGCCTGTTTCCGACTAGAAGACCTCTTTTGTACTGCGCGATGGCGAGATTTGTGGGGCAATCTCCTATCTGGTTGAAGGTCTCCCAATAACGACTGTTGTAAGATCTCAACGTCTCCTTGTCGCTCATGTCGATGGAGAGTAGCTGATTGATCTCTACTGCCATCTTGGTGTTCGTTCTGAACCTTGTCACGAATGCCTCCGCTAATTGCGCCCAGAAGGCTATGCTGCCTTTTGGTAGCCTTTCGAACCAAGTTAAACCTAGGTCGCCAAGGCTGGATAGGAATAGGGTGCACATCAAAGCCTCGTTCCGCCGGTATACTGCCATGACCTGGCGAAAGTGGCTTAGGTGCATGTAAGGGTCTGTCTTCTCTTCGTACGTCGTAAATTTAGGCTGGATGAAGCCTGAAGGTAAGGGTGCATTCTCAATCGCTGGAACGAATGACGAGCTATGTAGCCTTGCCAATGCTTTATCTGTTGGTTCGTAGACAAGGTGCGGTATTGGCATTCCAACCTCAACGCTTCCATGCATCCGAGGAGCCAACCGTTGAAGGGCTGACACTCTGTATGGGTCGCATGCCCTGGCATCCTCCTTCCGTCGCGCCCTTTCTTCAAGCACAGTCCATAAGTCGGACGATCTAGGCAACTCCGTTTGCCTGGATGACGTCTGGTGCATATGTGAGGGCCGATAGGTGCTTCCCTCAGTGTAAGACCTCAATGTTCTCGTTCTCTCAGACCTGGAGTAACGAGTCCTTGAAGTCCTTGATTGAGTGTCGCCTGTTCTGAGGCTCCTACTCTCTGCTTGCGATGGCATGGTGTGCCTACCACGGTTTCTGAGTGGCGAGAAGGCGTATCGTTTTTGCGCCCCTCTCCTGTCGCCACCCCTTTCCTTTTTATCTGGCGCTTCATCAATTCCATGTCCGCTGCCATCTTCCTGATTAACTCGTCCTGCTCATTTACCCGATCCTCCAAAACTTGAGGGTCGATCCTCCACCTCTGTCTATCAGGACTTGATGAGCGACGGGGGCTGTTACCCCGCCTTCCCCTTGCATCCCTCCAGGGATTCTGTCGCTGGGGCTCCAGATCTGCCATGGGAGGGATGGAAGGCAAACCTCCGCGCCTCCCACCTCCCTTTGGGGTTTACCCGTCAATGGCGGACTGCGACAAATCTTCATTGTGCGCCATTGCGTCTAATCTAGCGAGGAAAACTTTAATCAAGAGGTTTTGTTCTTTCTGTGCTTCCCACAGACGGCGCCAATTGTACGAGCAAGAAATAATCATTCTCGTATAATCCTGTTGATCAAGTCCGCGCTCCTCCAAACGTCGTCGCTTTACTCCCTAAAAACACAAACGTGAGCTAGCCGGCGGGTGTGTGCCGGATACCTCTCCGATGCCTAAGTCAGCAAAATAGACAAATAGATAAAAGCTCTTTATATTCGAGAATCAAAGTTGTGTTACCTCTCCATAGGTGATGTTATGAGCTTTTATAAGTTCTGCGTGGCACAATCCAAGTAGGACTCTTACTCCTCCATGTAGAGTCCTCCTAGAAATCACCTTCCTGAAAGATAATGTTTATCCTTCAACACCCCCCTCACTGCTTAAACCAAGTGAGATAGTTCTACCACGGTTGGATGTCAGTACGACCGAAATAACATGGTCATGCTAAAGCCGCAGACTAGACCGAGCTCCCACTAGCTCGATTCTTCCTTTTACTACTTGTATCCCGGTTTGACATATTCCAACTGGGTTATCTGAGACCACACTAATCATATCGAGCTTGGTCCGAACTAACCAATAGCAAGGTTCTAAAGAAAGCTCAACAGCAAGGTCCTAAATAGAAGCTAAAAATACCTCGGCTCAAGATGGTTCGACCGGGCTAAATGTCACCGCGCCGACCGTGGTGACCGAACTAATCACCAAGCTCCTTCGGACCAGGCTATCTGCAAGGCTCCTTTGGACCGGACTAATTACAAGGCCCTTTTACGCAACCCTTCTTACTGTGGCCCACAGAATGGCCCATTACCCAGTTCAACCCAATTTATATATAAATTACCCTCTCAATAAGTATATTTTTTATTTTTTCATTTTTTTTAGATCACATTATTTTTTTATTTTTTTACATATATTTTTTTATTTTTTTACATATATTTTTTTATAAAAATTTAAAATATATACTTATTTAAATCATTTTAAACCATCCAAATTTAGCACGCCACACACATTTCGCCCATGACAACGGATTAGTTTTCCATTTACCTCTTGCAATCTGTACATATTTATGTACTATGGACACTGATCTTAAAAACATATTTGATGCAGTTTATTATAATTTAAAAATTATAAAAATAAGAAATTTTTCTTTCAGTTTTCAAATAATAATCTTTTTTTAACTTATTTAAGTGAGCAATTTATATCGGTGATTTATATTTTACACTTTGTGTTATTTTGATTCTTACACTTTTAATTAGTTCAATTTTAACTTTTAATTTTAAATTTTATGTCAATTTGATCCAATCGATAATATCGTTAGTGATTTTTAAGAAAACTTATTGTTAAATTAGTTGAAATTAATTCACTGAGTTTAATAAATTTATACTTTTGGTCTTAAAAATATGCCACATGACACTTACATGGATAATTTTTATAAAAAAAATGCTAAGAATTATAATCAATTGGACTAAATTGAGATAAAGTCATAAATTCGGAATCAAAATCAAGCCAATTAAAATTACATGAACTAAAATCACATAAGGATCAAAATATGAGGACTACTATTGTAATTTGTCATATTTAAATTATTTTTGTCTAATAAATTGTAAGCAGAACTGTACCAAAACAAAATAAATTATAAACAACTCAGATAAATTATACCAAATAGTTCCGGAGAAAGGTTTTTCAAGCTTTCAATAGAAAAAAAATCAGTATGTTTGGTGTATTTTTTTTATAGTTAAAAATTAAAAATCAATGCAAAAATAAAAAATATTAATATCTTAACTTTTAAATAATCAATTTTTTCAACATCTTAATAAACGTAACAAAAATTAAACCAAACAATCTCTCAAAATAAAATAAATATATATGTAAAGTTAACCCATATAAATTACATTAAGATCTATTTTTTAATGAATAATGTTATATTCATATTAAATTTGATTTCGTCCGAAATGTTTGAATATTTTCATATTGGTTGCTCGGATGATAAGATAACAACCACGATGTAAGAGTGAAATCGGTTATCCAACTAATATAAACTTAGACAATTTGAGCCACAATAAATTTGATGAATAAATCATTTCATTTTTTTACTTTTTTTTTTTCTTTTGTTTTCATCCTTTCTAAACACATAGGTTCCGTTTATTTGGAGAGTTAGAGAAAGGATTGAGATTGGTAGTGAGGTGAGACCTATTAACATTGTGTTTGTTTTGAGAGATGGAGAGGAGATTGATAGTGAGTTTCGGATTCGGATGGACCTCCCCAAGGGGATTCAGATAAGCCTCCAAGACTTGATATTAGAAAAATAGTCCGCCGGACTAAAAAAAAAAATTTTATTATTTTTTAATTTTTACATGTTAGGCATTTTTTTGAACATTAATGTTTAATTTTTTGTATTTTTTGTTAAGTAAAAATCATTATTTTATTTGTTTTATTTTTTTCTGGAAATTTTTTATTTATTTTTTTAAATTTTTTACATATTGGGCGTTTTTTTTAAAACATGCATGTTTAATTTTTTTTTGTATTTTTTTTATTTGTTTTATTGTTTTATATTTATTTTATATAAAAATAATTTGACAATTCTTATACTAACAACTATCATCAAAACAAAAATAATTTTATTTAATCCCCTCATTATCCATCTCCTCTATTCTAGATAGTAAAATAAACGGGGCATAAAGACATATAATGATGATACCTTGGAGTGGCGTAAGACCTTTGTCCAAGAGAGCTCGATACTGATAAAATCCCATGAAGCCACAAGCAGCAAAAGTCCAGAACACGGCAACTGGGATTCCAAGCTCATCGCCTACTCTAACACTGAATGGCATTACACCATCGGACACAATGCAACTCACCGGTGGTGCGGTATCGACTTGATTGAGGTCCTCGATGAGCTTTCGAAATGGTTTCAAGAAGTTCCTTCTAACAGATCCACACAGAGAAGCCACGTCTTGGGTGGCGTCGATGTCCGATGGTGGAAGCCCATCAGGGATTGTTTTGAATTGGAAGTTTGGGAAGCCGCAGAGAGAATCGAGTCCTCTGGCTTTGATTAAGCGCTTTTGGTTGAACTCTGTGTTGACAAAGGTTATGTAAAAGCCCTTGTGGTGAAGGAGCTTTGCTATCTTCAGCATTCCTTTCATGTGGCTTTGAGCTGGGAATGGTATGCAAACTGCATGAGGATGATGAGACTTACCATTACTAGTATTAGTATTATTATAATTATCATCTCCTACTATAGCCATTGCCATTTCTCTTCTCTTCTCTTCTCTTCTCTTCTCTTCTCCACTAGAAAACAATGGAGAGAGAGATGGAGCAAATGAATTGGGTTTTGGGTACTCCTTATTGGTACTGTTGAAGGGGTTTATGTAAGGACTGGATTTCCTTCCATATCAACTAAGGGGGAATCTCATCTCGCACATATCCATAATTTTTTATTGGACAACTCAAAAAGTTTTTAAGTGAAAACACCAATGAAATCACAACATATCTAATCTACTTTAATTTGGAAAAAGCCAAACACGCAAATGGGTGTATTGTTGAACTGCGTGCTAAACTTGGGCCGACCAAATTTTTAATCCCACGTGATGTGTTCTAATTTTATTTGATAAGAAGTGTAAGTTGTGTGTTGTTTTAAATTAATATAACAATAATAATATATAAATTGTGATTTGTAAATATAATCATCATTATATTAATTTATGAGTAAGCTTATTGGTGATAGAGATTGTTGTTGTGCAAAAAAGCCCCTATGAGCAAGAAGTGGGGAGCAACCAAAAATAAATTTTATGATGTGTAAATAAATAAATATTGCAATCGTATGTAACTTTTGAGATGCTTAAAATCTTGGACAAAAACCTAATTCTTGTTATCCTTAGGAAAATGTATGTAGGATAAGATTAGACCCTAGAAAAACTATAAGACCTAATTGTGTTTGATTCAATCAAATTTTAATAAAAGAATGTTCTACTTTTATAGAAAACGTTGAGAGTTTTGATAGTGTAAGGTGAAATATATGATCAAGTAAGTTAAAATTATTAATATATGTAAAAGTCAAAACAGCCACATAACATATAAAATTGTATCACTAATCTTGTAAGTTGATTTCAGATCAAGGCGTGTTTGGAACGCAGTTAAAAAAGTCATTTAGAAAAAATTATTTAGAAAAAATAATAATTTTTTCTTAAAAATTACATCAAAACTTTTTATTTTTTCAATCCGTCTTAGGTTTCATTTGGGAAGTGGGTTGGCTTTTAATTTTTTGACTTTTTTGACTATTTTAGTCTAGGCTAAAAAGTTTGGTTTGGGAAAGACTTTTTGACTTTTTTGTGAGAGAAGAGTGTAATGATTATGGGTTGGATGTGATGTTTTGTTTGTTGTGGCTAAAATAGCCTATTTTATCTTTTGTGGCTAAAATAGTCAAAAAAACCCATAAATCATATTCCCAAACGGAGCTTTATATAGACGAATTTAAAAAGTATAAAAAAATGTTTAAAAAAAAAGAAAAACAAAAAAAATCTCAAAAAATATATATATGCCCCTTTTGGACTTTTTTCAAAATTTTACTTTTTCTTCTACTATCTAGTTGAGTAAATTCCAAAAAATATATAGTTTTTTTTTATAAAAAAAAATCAAAAAAGAAAACAAAACATACAAACAACCACTCAACTCACACCATTTACATTATTACTATTATTTTCAAAATATTAAGATGCATTTAGATTATAAATTTGGATGAAGATTTAGAAATAGAAAAAGAAAAATATATATATAATATAAGTATACTAGTCTATGCACGTGCCTAAAGGCACAGTATAAATAATATTAGGATTAGAATATAATTGTAATCTCAACACTATTTAAATTTATTTTTTAATTTGTTAAAATCACAAATTTATTATAAATTGTTGAAGTTCTCACAAAACTCCTCATGAAAACTCGCTTCTGCTTATATAATATATAAGTAGATAGATGTGTCAGACATACATACAATTTCTACGGGCATATATACAATATTGTTTTGCTTATATAATTGTATGGAAATTGTATACATGCCCATAATGTCTTAGTGTATTATGGGCATACAAACATTGTATGGAAATATGTGTAAAATATATTGAATAAAAAGGAGAAAATAAAAAAATAAACAAATAGAGGAAAAAATAAAAACGGAAGAAAATAAAAAAATATAAAGAAAAGAGAGAGGAAGGTGGGATCATGGGATCATGGAATGATGGGTGAGAAAAAGAAAAAGTAAGAGAGAGAGAGAAGCAGGAAAATATAAAATTTATATGTAGGACATTTTTTTGGAAAATATATATCAGCCATTGTTTTATAATGTGAACAGATTTGAGCCATCCAAATGTCCTAATAGGACAAAAATATGTTGAAGATTCATATAAGGTCTAAATTGTATATCAGGTATTCAATATATTTAAAAATAATAATTAATTGTTCAAATTTATTTAATTTGTAAACTATAAAATTCATTAATTTAATCTCCTAATTCTAGGATCGTAAACTTTTTCATATAATATGAATAAAAATAAGTGAACAAAAAAGAGAAAATAAAAACAATAAATAAATAGAGAGAAAAATAAAAATGAGAGAAAATAAAAATAAAAAAAAAGAAAAGAGATAGGAAGGTAGGATCGTGGAAGAATGGGTAAGAAAAGGAAAAAGTAAGAGAGAGAAGTGAGAAAATAAAAAATGTACATGTAGAATATTGTTTGAAAAATATATCTCAGCCGTTGTTTTATAATTTGAATAGATCTGAGTCGTCCAAATGTCCTAGCAGGACAAATGTGTGTAGCATAAATTCAAAAACCATCATGCTTTATTATATAGATGTTGAAAATTTATATAAAGTCTAAATTTATGAAGTCTATCAGGTATTCAATATATTTAAAAATAATAATTAATTATTCAAATTCATTTAATTTGTGAATTATAAAATTCATTAATCTAATCACCACTACACACAGTAAAATCTGGCTCATAATTTTGGCATCGTAAGCTTTTTCATATAATATGAATAAAAATAAATGAACAAAGAGAAGAAAATAAAAAAATAAACAAATAGAGAGAAAAATAAAAATGAGAAAAATAAAAAAATAAAAAGAAAAGAGAGAGGGAGGTGAGATCATGGGATCATGGAAGGATGGGTGAGAAAATAAAAAAGTAAGAAAGAAGCGAAAAAATAGAAAATGTACATGTAGGATATTTTTTAAAAAGCATATCTTAGCCGTTATTTTATAATTTGAATAAATCTGAGCCGTTAAAATGTCGTAGTAGGACAAAAAAAAAACATCATGCTTTATTATATAGATTTTGAAGATTTATATGATATCTAAATTTATGAAGTCTATCATATATTCAATATATTTAAAAATAATAATTAATAGTTCAAATTTATTAAATTTGTGGACTATAAAATTCATTAATTTAATATTCACTACACAGTAAAATCTAGGTTTTAATTTTGGAATCACAGACTTTTCCATATAATATGAATAAAAATAAGTGAACAAAATGGAGAAATTAAAAAAAGAAAAAAAAAAAGAGGAATGTGGAATCATAGGATCATAGAAAGATGGGTGAGAAATGGAAAATGTAAGAGAGAAAGCAGGAAAATAAAAAATGTAAATGTAGGATATTTTTTGAAAAATATGTTTCAATCGTTGTTTTATAATTTGAATAGATCTAAATTGTCTAAATATCCTAATAGGACAAATGTATGTAGAATAAATTCAAAAACTACCTTATTTTATTATATAAATTTTATTAATATTTTATCAATCTTTTTTATTTTTAAATTTATAATTCAAATAAAGTTTAAAAATAATAAGGTTTTGTTTGGTATAACCTAAAAAAGTTAAAAAAATCACTATTCTATTAAATCACATCATCTTATTTAAGTTACATCACCTCTTTATCACATCACTTCAAACTTAATTCATACCCAACTTATATTTTATAAAAAATCAAAAAAATACTTATTTAATTTATCCCAAACAATCCCTAATAATGAAGACTCGTCTGTTGTCGCTTTAGCTTCATTGATTTATTGCCTGCCTTTTATATATATATATATATCAATTCAACTGACAACGTATTTATTATTATGTCTGTCAGCTTTAGCTTCGTTATTTTATTGCCGGCCTTTATAGGTATATATGTATATCCATTCAACCGACGACTTATTTATTATTGCGTCAGGTCTATTTATTGAAAATTAATATATAAATTTACTTTATAAATTATATCACATCATTAATTAATACATTAATTAATATATAAATTTACTTTTTAAATTATATCACATTATTAATTAGTACATTAATTAATATACTAATTAGTCTATATAGAGAAGGAGAAGGGATACTGTTGTTGTAAGAATTTATTCTTAATTAGGTTATCATTAACTATATTTTGTTTGGCTTGTGAAAAACGGGTTGAACATGATTTAGATAGAGTGATTGGTATGAGCTCAAAATTGTTATTGTGATCCATGAAGTTTGAGTCATGGTCATCTTAGTGTATATATTATTTTATATGTAAATATGTGATATGAATGTGTAAGGCCTGTTTTAAGTTATTTGGGTTCCTTAATGGGACGACCCAGTAATTGTTTTATTTAAGTCCAGTCCCCTCTCCTATCCTTATTAGGGTTTATATATATCTATATATATGTAGATCAAAGGATTGCCAATCCCATCGAAAGACAACATAAAGATTAGGAGAAGGAAGGGAAGAGCTGGTGCTAAGGTTTTCCGATTGTGAATACCATCATCTTTCAAAAAAGTAAAACTCAAGACAATAACGGAGTCAAACGGTATGTATCCAAGTTTATATTTTAGTAGTTAATTATATTCATAGTGTTTTGATTTCTAGTATATAGATCCTATATTCTTACATGTGGTATCAGAGCAAGTTTATACTAGAATCAAAATCATGGCAGATTATTTCAGTAAAATTATTTTATATAATGATAAGGAATAAATTAATATTTCTTTTACTGAATGATGCTTTTGCATCTCAAAATCGTGCTTTAGTAATTTCAAGAAAACTTTTTCAATGTAACAAATACATATTGTTTGAGTATTGATAGTTTGCTTCCAATTATGTTTTATGAAATAAAAAATAGTAATTTGGATCTAGTAGTTTTATGACAATTGTAAAATATGGATGTGTGTATATTGAATCTATATTGATATATATATATATATATATACATATATATATTTCAAATCTTACCTAATTAAATATTTGCAAAACATATGAAACATATTCGTTTTTATGACTTTTACATAAACATTAAGATTGTTTAAGAGTTCTATATCATGTATATCACTTTAGTGTAATTTTTGTAGGAGGATTTGGTGATAGCCCCCTCACTATCTAATTTATCTTTCAAAAGGACAAGAATTATATAAGAACTTTTCAAACCCCCTAATATTTTAAAACT